GAACCTCATATACCAGAACGCAGTTGCAGTATTTTATTTCTTTATAAGTCCCTAATCTGGAAGTCACTTTCTCTATTAAATCTTTGCTTGCTTCCGTGATAGTTATTATATTTATAAGTTATGGAAGATTTAATTTTTTGATCGATTTAGTGTCTTTAGCCTTCTCGAGTTTTGGTCATAACTTCGACTTATGGTCATGATATAAGGTGAGCCATTAGTAAATGTTAAATATCTATACCGAACCTTACTTTTTGATCCCTCTTTGTCAAGTTTTTCAAAATCCACGGTGAAGCTATAAGCTGCCAAATACATTCTGGAATTTATTCACTAATCTTGTTGTTGTATGTAGTAGATTCTATCTGCTTTAAGTATAACATCTTTAGATTATCTAGAAGATTGATAGATAAAATATATTTCTTGTGTGTGACTTTATTTTTCAAATTAACTTTTACCTATGATCTTGAAATGTAATTATTCTTAGCCACTGAAGCTTTCTCACCTTAATAGTTGTTTTACTGTTTTCGTCATGTATCAGCACTGAAGGAGCAATGGCAGATATAGCCACACTCTTCGGACTGCTGAAGCTAATGACTTTGTTGTCTTTGGTTTTTTTACAAATACCTAGTTGTAACCAGCTTTATATTATAACGGACTTCTGGGCTTATTATTTGTGTCTAAAGAATTTTATAATATAAAATTTTAGCTATGTGTTACAGTAATAGTATCGTATTTTAATCTGATCCGTCATCGTTACTTGAGTATTTGACTGAATAACAGGCCCCACCTTTGTTTTAGTTATCAGTACTCCCTAATATGGTTAGTGCGATAGTGTTGCATCTTGTTTTAAGACGGAAAATATTTTCCGTGTTAGTTAAGAAATAGAGTCTTGAGGTATTTTCTTTTATTACGTTTTTAAATTGGAAGCTAACTTTTTTAAATGTACGATGTTTTCTAACTCTTTTCCTTTAAGAAAAGAAGATATTTTTGTAAGTTATATTGTGCAGACTCACCGACGATGTCGTCAAATTTGTTGCCAGGACTGTAATTCAGTCTACATAAGTGCAAGTATTCTTGGGAACTCTGCTTACAATCCAGAAATATTTCTATAAAAAATTAATATATTTTCTATAAACGGTGAGCAGGAAAAATTACTTTTGAATATTAATTTTTTTTATTGTATACTTAAATACGTTTTTCCAAGAAATAAACAGTTTCGTTGTCATAACTATCAGTTGGTCATACAAATTTAGGGAAAAGACTTGATATGTTGAGTTTTTAAGTGTGACTTCGCCTTGAGTGGTTTCTTTACCAAAAATAATAGGATCGATAAAAAAGTCATATTTGTATATGGGCACCCGCTCAAATATTATTCTATTTTTTATATTTGCTATAATGACGATGTCAAAAATACATAACCTGTAAAATTTCACCTGTCTAAGTATCATGGATCGTGAGATACAGCCTACCAATAAACGCATACACGGGGTCTCAGTAATAAGATCTCGTTTTACCCTTTTTAATAAACAAAGTATAAACATCTCAAATAAGACTAAAAGCTTTCAAACAAGTCACATATACGGTAAGTAAACATTTTAACTAGATTAAACAAATTAAAGAAGCAGTATAAATATATCAAACAAAATTGCACAAACAACGTCTTTAAAATAAGAAGTAACGAGAAAGATTATATTACTCTCAAGGTTTAATTAATAAAAACCAAATAGAAGTACAATAGACATCGATAGAATAATACAATGACAAAAAACATACTCTCAGTGGTAAATTGGCTATGGATACTTTGATTAACGAACCTAGACATCTTCATTGTTATACATAATTAATACATATGTAATATATGTACGGTATTTATGGTTATGCGAATTTGAACCTGGTATACAAAACTAACGAATATAATCGATTTAACTTAGAAGGAGGATACACTGAAAAATAGGAATCGCTGCAGGAGCTAAAAATATTTCCGTTCCTCTTATCTAAATATGGTATTTGTGGCAGCGGATATTAGCATCTTGAATATAAACAGAATGAACAAAATCGATTTAACTTGGAAGGGGTTGCACTGAAAAATAGTAATCGTTGAACTTGATAAGAATATTTCTCCATCTCTTATCTAAATTGAGTAAGAAGTTACGTTGCAATTTAAACTGTTAATCGGAATAAAAATGTTAAGTTTGAAATTAGACTTCAATTTGTACTATAACTAAATAGCACATATAATATGCTTTTAACATAAAAGCAATGTTAATCTAAGTATGAAATTAATATTTGATATGCCAATGTGGAATGAAATCCTCATTGACGCGAGAGGAATTTGAATTTACAATTAAAAAATCTGCTCGCCTTTAAATTGTTTAAGAATATAGAAAACTGTAGACAATTTAACTAAACTTCCATATTTTAAGTCCTACATGAGTAGCCGAGTTCTATTTTAGATAAAGAGATTCAGGATTACCTAATACAATTTTTTAAGGAAACGATTAAACTGAGAACTTTTCCAAAGACGTAAATCATAACTCATAATAAAAAATATAATGATCTAGAAAGATATATAAATATGTATATTTATGTAAAAGTATTTAAAATTATTAATCTTAAAGAAAATTTATTCCTATTAACTAAATTTTATGAGAATAGCTTAAAATATTGGACAGATATGAATGTGTAGAAAGTCATTTTATTAAATTATGAGCGAGTATTAGAATTGTGTAGCCTCCCGAATATACAGGGTGACTGGTGAATTACTATCGATACTTGAGGACGTGATATTTGACGATCATATATGACAAAATAAAAATTAATATAACATAAATATTAATAAACTTCTAAGTAAAGTTAACCAAAAGTTATGAAATTAATTACGCATCGTGTGAACACCCTACAGATTAGGTATACACACACGCTCACACACACGCGGCGGGGGCGTGGTTTTGTATCAGCACGCCGCCGCACGCGTCCACACTTGGAACACTTGGAACGTGTCAACACTTTATTTATTTATACGGAAATTTGGTCAAAAATTAAGTACCTATTTTTTTTACAAATTCGAATGAGAATCATGTACCGAGTATGCTCCTTAAATATTGATAGTAATTCACCAGTCACCCTGTATAAGGCTTGAATTTCTCAATGTGAGATAACTTTGAAATATTTTCATCCGAATCTATACAACAACTGCATGAACAATTTGTAATGTTAATTAAAGATCATGTTGTCTAAACTGTAATTAGCTAGATCCACCATAGATATTAGGAATCAGTTAAACAAGTTTGTTTAATGATCACACGTCAACAGCTAATTCATTATGTTAACGAGACACTGCGGACGGCAGTGATGAATTACTCTTTCCTTCATAAAAATGGGCACAAGGAGAATGGCAAAAAATGCCTCATAATATATTAAAATCTTGAGCACGCCGATATAACAATAGATATACTATCAAAATTACTTTTTAAATAAGATTTTTTTTGTTACTAATCATCTTTTTGTATGATACTTTTTTACAATACTACGCCTTTTTACTTTCAGAGAACGTGGTTGGGTTAATGTACGTATATTTCCTTGAGGGCTATTATTACGGTTTAAAATCAAGTCCGGATGTATGATCGTGTTTCACAAGTGGGTTAACCGATCTCAACGTGTTATTAGATGCGAGCATGGAACTTTAACCACTGGGTACTTGTACATAAATATAAGAAACCTTAATAATGAAAATTTTAAATGAAAGCCCTAATTTTATTTAGTTATTTAATGAAAAATGAAACTACAACGACGTGATTAAATAAAGTCATATTTCAAGAAGTTTAAACATACTTTAAGTAAATGGTAGTAAATGAGGGAAATAAACAATGATAAAATAACACAACTTCGTAAGCCAGCAATTCCGAAGGTTATAAATAAAATTAAGTAGAATAAGCAGTATTAACTACATACATACATTGAGAGAACATAATGATATGTTTAAGGTATTTTTCTGTGATTATACCATTTTAATTTTGTATATAGAATTAACAATAATAGTTTCTAATTTACACAATCATCATTCGTGTTTCACATGTAACATTTCATACAAAGCTCTTAATCTATTTCGGCTTAACCCCTATCTTATCCATCAGGTTTAAGCGGTACGTAATTAGGCTTATTAATATTAGTTCCTAATCTATTACAATACCTTGTGTAGCGTTCAAAATATCTTAGAACAATAGAACCTATGGGATTCTGTTAGAACTAGTCGAATGAAATATAATAGCTTTACTCATATAATATTAATTTATAGGGTAATAAGAAGATATTTTAGTGTAGGTAAGAATATACCACTTACAAAACCAAATTAAAAAGGTTATTTTATTTAGCATTGAATCACAAAAAATTGTGACTATAAACGTTCAACCTTATAAGCATTATTCAGTATTAACTTTATAATTTTCATTAGTAACTATGGTTCGAATGTGAACACGGCATGCATAAACGGAATATTTATAATGTATCAGAGGGAGGTTATAGCAACTGAAGTGTTGACGTAAAACAGGAACAAGGCAATTAACTCGATCGCTACCCTATTAAAGGTTATGCCTATAATAAGAGCGCTTCAATCGATTATACCGGCAATTTTGTATACGGTTTTATGAACATTGAATATTATAGTGTAATACATTATGTCTCCAATAAATTACTTGAAGCGTCCATTAGAAATGTGTTAATGAGGAAGTTTACTGAAATTTTACTTGTATTTAATTGTTGGTAGAATGCTGTTTCAGACGTCCATATAATGTAAAAGAGTAATAAAACAAGTGTTCGTACTTGGTGTGTTATTGGGCAATTGACGTTTTATTCTCACATGAGTGTTTATAAAAAGTAGAATGAAAAAACACGATTATTGCGAAGTTATTTTATTATGAACCACTTTTTTTACAGTTGAGGATCAAAATTAGAGAATTTATGGTACAATTCAAAATTATGTTACACGCATACATACATAAATAGGTCTAAGTCTCCAGTTTGACATTTTCAATATTTTTATGTAACATACTATGTTCTGCCAGTGCTTTCTTTTCATGAAAAGAACGTTCACAGTGTTCACACTTGTGAGCCCGTATCCCTGTATGCACACTTTTGTGTCGTTTCAACTGTTTTCCAGTTGGAAAACCTTTCCCGCAATCTGGACATTTGTGGGGCATAAAGCCAGTGTGGATCCTCATATGCAAGTTCAATTGCCCCTTCGCTTTATACTTGGATCCGCAAACTTCACAAGTGTAGGGCCGCTCTCCAGTGTGCCAGAACATATGCTTTTTCAATATATTTTCGGTTAAAAATCTTTTAGAGCACACTTCACATACAAATAACTTGTCTTTGACAATTTTTTTCAAATGTAGGTTCAGTTTAATATGACTTTTGTAGGTTCTTTTGCAATGGCTGCATTCCACGGGAGCATTTGGGAAGTGCATATTTGCAATGTGTTCCTGAATAAAAAAAAAATATATAAAATATGTACTGTGATTATTAATATATATTATTTACATAATGATCCAACAAATGGGAATATACAACGACTGCAATTTAAACAAATTCATTTTGAATCAATCTTAAAAGGTATATAAAATTTTAAATATATGAATGCCTTATGCGATAATCGTTTGAATATTTTTCTGAGAATATTTCTTGAAATACAAAACTTCCAAAGTTTAGTTCCAACCCGTTGTACAATACATCTCAATTACGGGTCAATGTTAGCAATGATATTCAGTATAAAACTTATGTTATGAATATATTTTTGCACAATACATACAACCTTATGTAACAATTTGATATAGTTAAAAATAAAAATGTTGAATATTTCTACTCACTTTCAGAGCGGACATTCTTTTAAAATCTTTTCCACACATTTCACAAACGAACTGTCTCACATTCGAATGATCAATAAGATGTGATTTGATTTCATGTCGGTACAAAAATCTGTGAGCAAGATAATTGAGGGTAGCGTTATAAAGTAGGTCACGAACTTTTAGAATTATTTAGATACCTATATCGACCTATTTGGATTGCGGGTGCTATTTACGTTGGTGACGTTTTTAGGAGGAAAGCAACGAACAACACGAGTAATTGAATTTAAATGTGATCATGCGAAGCCTACAGTTTTATAGAATTAAAATGTTTTCCTGAAATGTTGTGTTATTTTGTAATCCACACACATTTTTGATTTGATAGTAGCAGTACTCTATAATTTTTTTTATATCTTTGCTTTTATTCATTATAACTAATAAAAAATCGTAAATATATCTTTTACACAAAAATCTTTCAGAAAAAATATATCAAAATGAATATATGCTTATAAGTATTATTTTGCGTACATACTAATAGTAATACAGTTGTTAAAGATTGACAAATTGAAAACTTAATTTTATTTGAAGTAATTACAACTTTTTTGTTCGTCAAACAACCAAAAGCGCAGTTCTATAATTAGGTGTGTCACACATTAAAAATTTATACTACGAGGTTGTTTTAGACCCCGGTATACTCATATGAATCGTGTGTGTTGCCCGTGGAGTATTTTAAGAATTAAAAAATTTATGCATATCACTTAAATACGAGTGTCCATTTCTATGAAATACGATAGAAAGTAAAAGAAAAGTAGATGTGAGCATTTCTCATGGAAATTCAATTGGGCTGTTATCTTAACTCAATAATCGGGTCATACGTGAGGATATTTGAAGGAGACAAATATGAATCTTATGACAAGATTTATACGTACACTTCCGTTCCTTTTTGAAAATATAAAAAATCAGTTATGGTAAGAAATATCACATAAAATTAAATTCATGACAAGCGTAATATTGTACATTGGCCCCTCCCGTTTATTTCGGACGGAATGAAATGACATGCTTAAGAAAGAAAGGGCGAATTTTGGGTCTTGCTTTGTAAGGACTAATTTGGATGTCCAAAAAAAAACATTTTTATATAAAAAGGATATCACGTGTTTGCATTGTATAAGATAAAATCAGCTAGAAGCTAAAAACAATTATTGCAAAATGTTGGTCGTCTTAAAAACATTAATCACCGAAATTATCTCAAGTCTCATTTATATTCTGCAATATTTTTGAAAAGGTAATTGAAATACAAGATTTATTTTTAACTCTATATGTATATAACACAACAAAGAAATATAAAGAGCATCATTTCTTCAAGTTAAATTTAACAAAATGCAATCTGTTTATTTCCTTTGAGGAGTGCGCTTGTAATGGAAAATCGTACTGTTTCAAAATCAATAATTATTTATAGAGTATACTTTTAATCTAGTTATATAATTGTTTTCTTGACAGTTAATATGATGATGCCACAATGCAATATAAAAAAGATAATGCCTATCATATTCCCGTTTTGATTTTGAAAATATTGTTTCATTAATTAAAACAAATAAGTAGCTTTCTTTCGACAAATATTACCGTGAGTAAATCCTAGGGAGTTTTGTTACATTAGCTTATTTTAATAAACATAAACGATAAGTAATGGACGGTTATAAGCCGAAATAATCTTTATGGCGGGGAAAATAAGACTAAAATTGGTTTATAGTGTATAATATTTAAAGCCTGTCAAAACCAGAGTAGCGATAAAGAATGAGTTAGTTATTTCCCCGCCAGACGTGGGCTGGTGTAACCTGAATCTGGCGCAAAGCCTGGATAAATTGCAATTTCAGAATATATACTTTAGAATCATTTCTTTAAGTCACTCAAATATACAGAACACGTGTATTACATTTTTTTTTTTCAAACTCGTATCAAAATCTGTTAAAAAATGATAACATATGACAAGAAGAGTAGTTTTTGAGAATTTATACCTACAGATGTGCTATCCGTGTCCCGGATTAGAAATATTTTCATAGTGTCAACTTGAAAGGATATTATATATAAAATATTTTGTTACCGCGTAACTGAAACCTTTCACGTGTCGTATGGTGATTTCGATTGAAAGGTATTATCAGAACACTTATGTATGTATATGAACATAGTGTAAGCTATAATAGGATATCATTGACTGAACTTTGAAACCGCGTATTGCGTGCAATAAAACATTGCTTTAACATCAATAAGGAAATGTGATCAAAAATTTACACACATAGAACCTACAGAATTTTCAAATTTTCTGTATATTTGATACGCATGCGGTGAAACTCATCACAAGAGATTTTTTTTTGTATTTTCCTACGCTATTCATTCTATGTATACACAATAGATTTCCTACCACTTTTGTATTTTCAAGTTTGGACATTGGACAATACAATGAAAAAAATATATATCTTTGTCTTTATCAATTACGTTTAAAAAAATATCGGGATTATAATGAATGGTCCATTCGTAAATAAAGCTGTTACTATTTAATTAATTACATTTAATTAAATGTAGATGTCACCAACTTACTTCTTTCCACAAATATCGCAAATGAACAGACTGTTTTCTTCATTATGCAGCCGTACGTGCTTCTTCCAAGTTTTGAATTTTGTGAAAGTTTTACTGCAAATGGAACATAAACCTCCTGTTTTGTGCAAATGTACGGATCTAAAATGGAACTGAAGAGACAATATGGACGCCTTCTTTTTATTGCAAGCATGACAATATAATTTCGTTTTCTTGCAGTGTATATGTCTGAAACAATAACTACAGATTTATTTCCAAACTAACAGTAGTACATACACATTCACATATTATGCTCTATAAAGTACAGGCATGTGTGTATTCCAATTACTGATGTGAACTGTATTTAAAACTAAACTGTTATATGTACAGTACTGTTAAGTATTACTAAAGGAAAACAAAATACTTTAACGAGGTAAGTGAAGGTAAGTAGATTTGTTTTGATATATGTTTTATTTTTCTATGATTGCTATCGAGAAAATGGCGAAAATTTGACATGGCGTTACAATAACAATAAACAACAAAATACGGATAATTTACAGTACTCAAGATTACATTTAATACTCAAGAATTTGTTCAATAGCTATTTTTATGTATATATTCCACTGATATCAGAGCGAATACCTTTTATTTACGTAACTAATAATTGTAGATGGTTAAAATTGTCAAGTGTTAGCTGCATACCCACCTCTACAAGAGTAGTGACAACAATGAGTGTTGGTTGGTATAGAGGCAAGGGTACAGATTAAAAACATTCACGCTCGAGCCGTTGCAGGGATAGGACCTCATCAAAATAAAGGATTTGTCAAACAGTGTTCAATCACTTTCAATAGCCCGAGAGCCTAATGATAATCAACAACATAGTCATTTGTGTCATGAGTTGTGCTGGCGTCACACTTGTTAAAAACAATGAATTGATTCTAAATCCAGCATTTAGGTATTGAGTATACCATTTAGTTGTCAGAATTTACGTAGGCGAGCAGAACCCCCGTTGCTGAATCGTATATAACCTCATTAATATCGAAGCGATGCTCAACCCTGAATCTTTTTATACAACAGGGGCAAACGAGCAAATGGGTCATCAGATTGAAAGAAACATGCCGGCACCTATGGACATTTGAGAATCAGAAGACTAACAAGGGTATTGCGGCCTTTAAAGAAAACGCTATTTTATTTTTTGTAAACTTGTACTATTTACTCGCTTACATACTTTGAAAAAAACATATTAAAGTATGTGTATATGACTTAAATATTCATTATACATAAAGAAAAAGAGTTTTTTTATCATACTTTTAATTTGTGGTAACACGTATGTTTATCCTTTTGTGTCAGCATTTTTCATATACATATTATGCATATGTATGTGACTATCTCCTATCGTGTAAAATAAAATGGAATGTTCATACAATTTTTAAATGTCTTGAGGTTAAAAAAACGCGAACATTCATTACCACCGCTTAAATGAAAAATAACAATATTTTTAATTGACTTTATATGATCAACCGAATCATGCATTTAAATTATAAAAACCAAGAAATGGTTTTAAGAATCAGAGAATAATCAAAAAAGTATAAGAAGAAGAATAGTTATGTATCGTTAAATATGTGGTGTAAATCTCAAATAGATTAATTAGTTATGAATAATAGATTTCATACAAATAAACAATAATGAGACACTCACATCTCGTCTGCCCGTGACCACGGTTGCTGTAAAGTAACCGAAACGTCGGGAGTATGTAGTTTTTATCAAACATAAAAATCGCGTAGTACATCCGAAAAAAATATTAGTTTCATTTAAATAAGTTTCTCGAAAATATTAGATGTCATTACATGTAATAATATCTGTTAGTCCCAATTGATTTGAATGCATTTATTTCCAGAAATGCCAGATTCTTCGCCAAGAATCGAAGCCACTATTAACTTTCAGTATATTCTTAGATTTTGAAGAACGCCATTCTGTATTTACTATTTTAAGCTATTTTAATTCATATCTATGAAGTGAGAAATAATGTTTGGTATTTAGTAAATTTTAAAAATTAT